TCAAAGTTTCTGTGATCACAGTAGGAATTTTGCATAGGTAAATTCTAAGTTTTGAAGGATTTGTAAGAAATGTTTGAGGAAACTTACTGAGTGTTATAAAGGATGGTTTACACTATCAAAGTTTCTGTGATCACAGTAGGAATTTTGTATAGGTAAATTCTAAGTTTTGAAGGATTTGTAAGAAATGTTTGAGGAAACCGACTCAGTGTTAAATACTGAGTCAGTTCGTCAGTTCCCAAGCGTAGAATGCAAAATTGAAAAATTCCTACTGTGATCAGAGAAACTTTGATAGTACAAACCAGGCTTTAGACAAGTTTATCTTTAGGGGCATTTCTGTGAAGACAAGTTGCTGCAAACTCTGGGGGAGCTGTTCAAGAATGAAGAATCAAAGGTCGATACTGTAACATGTTTCCACGTATATAATAAAAAAAAAGAAAAAAAAAGGGCCCACAGTAATTGGTAGCTACCATATACTGTTGTGGTGACCCTGCCATGAATGCATGACAATGGCGAAGTTACATAAATAAATAAATACTGTAGGAACATTTGCCCGCCCCTATAACTGTCAATATGTTTGATCTCGACCACCATGTGTAACAAGCATATAAAGCATGACATGCTTTTCTTTAGCTCTTCAATTACGGACGTTTTATCGAGAAAATCAACTATGCATGCCACCCAGCAAGACTGGCCATAGACAGTGAGGACAGATGTCTGGCAATGTGTGTTGTTCATCTTTGTTTTGTGAAGAACAGCGTGAATGACGATGACTCTCCCTGTTGGGTCGAGGTTGTCTTGACTCGAGCAGTTCAATATGTCAAACGTAAGTGGAATTTCAAACGTCAACTATAGCTACTATCCTATATGAGCTGTCATATTTTGTGTCTGAACTATCTGAAACTAGACCAATATACGAGATGGTATGGTAATTACCGTACTTCTTGGGAAAACAGTTGAAACTAAAAGAGCTATCCAGCATAACATATATTTGATCCCTAGACATGGTTTCACTCTCAATGCAACGAAGAAGGGAAGTCCAGGAGAAATATCATTTTCAAGAACCGCCAGCGCTCAGAATGGATTCCAAAATGGAGTCGACTTCAGCCAAGATTCTGAAACTCATCCGACCAAGTCGCTATATTGAGACGGTGAAGTTTAAACGCAAGGCGTGGGCTCGAAAGAGAGTTGTCAGCAATCCTTTTTTGTATGGGGAAGTCTCGTTCAGTGAGGATGATAGGAGCGAGAGCGCTTCTCTTTGCTCACCTGAGAGCAGTTTCGCAGAGGAAACAGGGTTTGAATCTAATGAAGAGATTTGTAATTCGCCTAAGAATGAAGAGCAAGAGTTGTATGAAAATGTACAGATTCGCAATGTGCAAGGTAAGCGGGAAATGGCCAGGAGTCAGAGTGCATTCTTACCTGACAGCAGCTTTGCAGAACAGTCAATGTTTGAATCTGGGGAAAAGGTGTCTACTTTGCCTGCACGCGGAAGACAAAATCTTTATGAAAATGTACAGGTTGAAACCGTGAAATGGCAAAACTTCTTTAAAACAAGCGGTAATGTATCTGATAGTTTGAAAGAAGATGGGAGCAGAAACGTGAATGTAGAAATTCATAGTTCATCAGAAAA